ACCTTGGGAATGTATAGTTTTACTCCCAGTATTATTCCAATGATGGTCACTTTCATTGGATCATAGTATTGAGAGCTGGAAATGACTTTACTCTAGTCCAGTTTTCCCCCTTCCCTCATTTTTTGAGATTAGGCAGCTGAGGCTTTGTGGAAATGACTGGTGTGGGGGTTACACAAGTAGTACGACTTGGCATGGGCAGGGACCTGTTGTTGTCCCATTCATGAGATCCAAAGTGAACTGGGTTTCAGGCTTGGTCTTTGAGAAAGAAATCTAGCCAGTAAACCCCAAGCTAGCTAGGTAGCTTTCAGCCATCAAAATTTACCTTTCTTTAGACAGAACACCCTCAGGTAAGGGGAAAGGAGGGGAGAGAAGAGGAGAGGAAGAGAGAGAAGAGGAGAGGAGGAGCTGAGGTGCCCAAGTAGAACTGGCCAGCTGGGTCACCATTCAGGCAGCTCGGACTACTCCCAGGTTGTGGTTTGTCCTTTGTTCTCGAAGAAGAGCAGGACATCAGGGAGATGATGATATGACTTGGCAATTGACCTTGATTTAAGTGAGGGACAGCTTTGCAAAGTCACCATCCTCACTTTCTCCTTCAGAGCCATCTGGGTCCAGTGGGCAGATATCCATCAGGACAACTAGATATGGCCCAGGATACCATGGGAGGCATTGGCCCTAGAAAGCTAAAATCTTTTCAGGTTCTCACTTTGACTGGGGCAATGAATAAGCCTCTTTAAGAAGTGAGTCATGGGATGGCCCCTTTAATAATTTTTTTAAAAAATCAAATGGTGGGGAGGGGAGACCCTCAGGGTTGCTGACTAAAAGAGAAACAGTTATTATTTACATTCACTCTGAGCCTGGAGGGCCCAAAAAATAACCATTAAATAAACTCTCCTCTCATTTCTTCTCCTCTCCTTTCCCTTTACCTAGGGGTGTTCTGCCCAAAGGATGGTAAATTTTGTACCTACTTAGCTTGGGGTTTACTGGCTAGATTTCTTTCTCAAAGACCAAGCCTGAAACCCAATTCACTCTGGATCTCATGGACTGGACAACAATAGGTCGTTCCCAAGCACCACTTAATGTTTATTTTTTGGGCCCTCCAGGCTCAGAGTGAATGTAAATACTGTTTCTCTTTTAGCCAGCAACCCTGAAGGTCTTCCCCTCCCCTTGACTCACTCCTTAAAAAGGCCTAGTCACTGAACGGGCCTTGCTCCACTCAGAATGAGAGCCTGAAAAGACCTTGGCTTAAAAGGGCCAAGGTCTCCCACTGCATCCGGGGCCATCTCCAGTCATCTTGATCGATATCTAGCCACTGGAGCCAGATGGCTCTGGAGGGGAAAGTGAGAAGCCTGGTGACTTTGCACAGGGCTCCCTCACTCAAATCAAAGTCAATTGCAAGTCATGTCATCATCTCCCTGATGTCATGATCCTTTTCAAGAATGAAGGACAAACCATACAACAACCACACCACAACCGCACAGCCTGGCAGGGCTAGGTGTTTCCCATATCCCACTAATTTTTATTTTGTTTTAAATATTTGGGCAGGGGAAGGAAAAGGAGCTTTAGTAGAGATTCCTGTTGTTAGTCTGTAAGGTGAGTTGATGGCACTTGGGATTGCCAGTTGGAATTTGGGAAGATGAAATCACAGGTCCTGATGATACAGGGAAAAACAGTAAAGGCATTTAATACACTGGTAGCCCTGAGGAATTAATCTAATGGTTGGGATTTTGGGGCCCTTTGCAAGATAACGGAGATGATAATCTGTGGGTAGATGGATTGTCTGACATCCCTCAAGTCACATTCTGGAATAGGCATAGGGCCAGGCCTGCATCTCTGATTCATTATAGAAATGAATTCTAACATTGTAGAGTCTATCAAAGAGTTGCCACTTATCTTTAGGGACTTGTCATTCACCACAGTCACACGGCTTTGAAAATGGTTGAACACTGAAACATTTATATGTATTCTAAATATTGATTATGTTCTCAACAGTGTTTTACTTGGGGCATTTGGACTGATTTATTGGCTTATTAAAAATATGTCACCACTGGCTGATTAAACATTGCTCTATATTTACAATTGATTTGTGTTTTTAGAGTGGGAGTCTGAAAGAAAGAGCTTAACCATTATTCTTTCTTGTTGTTCCACCAGTATTTTATTGTTAAATTTATCTTTAGTAGAAGTCTAGCCAGAATGATGTGGGTTAAAAGGAAGAAAAATACCTTTTATCAGCTTTATTAAATACATCAAGGGAAAAAAATCATTAAATGACCATCTAAAAAGATTTTCCTCATAAAAAGATTGTTTTATGTTTTAGTTAAGAGATTTGACTGATTCCTAGGGGTAACCAAGCACAGTCACCTGCCTTTCCAGACCATTTGAGTCCTGTGCAGCCTGTTGATAGAAAAGTATTCAGTGGGTGACTCAGAAGCAGTGTATTCTAAATGGTTTTTACATCAGTTACCAGACATTTAGGTTCACTAATCTTCATCACTGTTTGTAGATATTGATAAGTGGTACCCATTGATAAACAGAGTAGGTACATTCCCAGGAAGTTTTTTATCAAGTAAATATATGTATATGGAATCAAATTTTTCCATTGGTTTTCATGGTTAAAATCAGTGGTGTGTTCCTGAAAAAAAGAAGGGAGAGTGTGAATTGTGGCCCTGTGATATGTTATTTAACAATTATATCAAACAGGAAACATGGCATATTATAAAGAACATTAAATTTGGATTTAGGATTCCTGGGTTCAAATTCTAGCTCTGCTACTGGGTCTAATGGTGGGAAGGGGATAGGCAATTCACTCATTTTTTGAAGTTCAGGCCACTAGAGTTCTATCTCATATATTAGTACCTGAAAGAGTTCATAGAAGACTTCATGAGAGGGGTAGAGCCAGAGGGCCTCCAAGGTATTTTCCAGTTTTAGATCTATGATGCTATGATCTTGTAGAAATGCTACCTAAAGTATCCCTCAAAATAGCCAAGTATCTATTTCTGTTAATGACTGTTGCATTTTTGAGGCCTCTTGAAAAGCCTGTTCAGTAGTTTTAAACAAGAGGAAGTCTGCTTGTTGTTCATTTGTTTGACCATTTGTTCAGGAAACACTTTTTGAGGACTGTGGTGAAAGCACTGTGCAAGGAGTTACGAGGTCAATATCCCAAACCCCTGAAATCACAGACTAGTGAGAGAGATGAGGCACAAATCACTGTCATAGGATGTAGAAAGTTAATGGCAATGAGAGTGCTTTCTCTATGTTTAATCCTTTTTTTTTTTTTAAAGCAGGATGGTGTTTCTCAGCATGTTTTTGCTACTCCAGATCCTGTCCTTTGGGATTCTGTTCTTATTTGCTGTTTTTATCTTCCCCAAGTGGCTCATGCAGAGACCCAATTACACAGAAACATCTCTTTGGGTAGATTATTTACATTTTTTGCTATCATATAGTAATAGTTCTGCTTCTTGTGGGAAACTTGAAATCCAGTTCCAGCTTATATGACCATAAGTAAGGCATTTACCATCTCTGGATCTCAGCCTTTGACAGCCTACAGGTTGAGCAGATTAAAGTAGGTTATAGCCTTCAGGTTAGTAATGTATGAAATAGAGCCCTTAGAGGCTTCACCTTCAAAAAATAAATGACCTGTCCTCTTCTCATCATCAGACCCAGACTTGTGAAACACAAGAATTAAACTTAGACTATGTGACTCTGAGAAGACAAAAATAGGGGCACGTTTAAAATTCAGGTAGGTTTAAGGAAGCTTAGATGATATATGAGGAGGCAACCTCCTAGGAAATGCCCAAAGTATAGTGTTCTCACATGGTATGAGTTACTTTGAGAAGAGCTAAAACAAAATTATATGTTCTTCTAATAATGTGAAATAGAAGTATCAGTTTCTTAAGTATTTACCTGTATTTCATTCTTCACTTTCATTCTCAACCTTCCAGCAATATTCTGGTCTGTCAGCAGTAGTCACTTGTCATAGACATAGACATTTGTCATCAAATCTAGAAAATTTAAGATCAAATGAAAAAATTAATTTTGGATACAAATTAACTTAAAAAGGTTCTTGGTCTTCCTGCACTTTCTCCCCCTGAAATAACTCTCAGAAAGTCTTATGACATAGCGGCTTAATGGATTGTTTAAGAAAGTCACAAGATCATATTGACTAGGTCCACCACAAATTATGGTTTGTAACTTCATCTCTTTGTTGCATTGAAATCCTTTTCTCCTTCCATTATTTACTTCCTCTCCCATTCCCTACCATGTTCTCTCTTTCACCTTAAGTCCCGACTCCACTCTCAGTCTTACATCTTGCTTTAAGTTGATTGAGGCCATCCAACATGAGCTCCTTGAGCTCCCTCCACCTCCACACTCCAAAACAGACTTCTCTGCTTTGTCTCGTCTGTTTCCCTTTGGTCTTCAAGAATAAGATAACCTTTCTTAGCAATGCTAACTCCTTCACCTGTCTTCTTGATCCAGTCTACTTCTGGATCCTCTGGGATTGAATTCCATTCCAGTCATCACCTCTTTCACATCTTCAGTTTTTCCCTTCCAACTAAAAATATACTGTGATTGCTGAACCTCCAAGGAAAAGGTTGTAGTCGTTGTGAGGCAAATAAAAATGCCAGCCTACTGAGACTTAGGAAAATGCATCTGTAGTGCCAAAAGATCGACCAGTATTTTATCCTCTGTAGAAGTATTAGTTTGTGTGTTCTACATCTTAACAAAGAATATGGTAGGGGGAGGGCAGGGGGATAGGATGAGGGGAGTGTTATATACTGTCTTCAAAGAAATAGCATGTCTTACCACTTTATTGCATTTGTTTCTAGGTCCACAAATCTCCTGGTCCTGAATGAATTTTGTTTTCTTTGGTCCCAATAAGCATACTCCAACTTTTGAAACTCTCTGATTCTTTTTTTCTTTTTAATACTGTATGAATCAAGAAGTTATGTAATGTCTGAAATAGATTAAAACCCTGACATATTCCACTATTTTCTTTTAAAAAGATAATATCCAGTGATCCATTCTGGGTTCCAACTACTGAGGAAGAATATTTGCACTTTGGAGAGAAAGCTGACTCAGAGAACCAAGCTCGAAAGTACATGAATTCAGTACGAAAGCGGAAAGGACTTTATGTGGAAGAAAAAATTGTGGAACATGCGGAGAAGCAAAGAACACTTGGCAAAAATAAGTAACTGTCTCCATTTTCAGTTCAGTACACTGGTGGATTATTTTTTTCCTCTCTAACAGATTAAAAGCATCATTAAGGATTTGCAGTTTTGAAATTTTTCTTTCTGCTGCAGAATTTGTTCGTTTTTAATAAACTTGATCAAGTTTAGTGTATTAAATAAGGTTATTCAAAAAAGATGTTGATAAGGTATTTTTCAAAGACTGGTTTTAGTCTAAGGCAAGTATGTGTTACAGATACCTAAACAACGACTTGTCAGTTTTCTACATAACCTTAAAGATTCCAATATTAATATCGAGTAGGACAAGATTTTTAATACAGGGACAACAAATTATGGAGTCTTTGGTTTGTGTTTATTGCTTTTTCATTTTGTGAAAAGTCATCATGGTTCTACCTTGCATCCTGAAATTTTGTGTGAAATTTGTGATAAACTTTGTAGAATGAAAACATTGAGGAAAACATCACCCACAAACGAGTGGCAGAACTGTGCAACAGAAACATTTTTTGCATGTGAAAGTCAAATCATACCTAGTACATTGTGTGGAGATCATGTGACTGACTAGTAGAAAAGTAACCATTTTAAACTCAGGGTATAATTCATCAAATCTCAAACAATTACAATAGATTCATTTGACAGCATTGCTTAACAGAATGTTTTCTTATGTGTAATATGCCAGTAACTTACCTTGTCAACTGACTATTTGAACAACCTTCACTGATTACTGTGAACATCATCTTAAATTCCTTTAAGATGTAGTAGGAATAATAAGTCACACATATACTTTAAAAATAGTGTTACCATCATGGCTTTCCTGTTATTATTGAATTGCGTATTTCCCCAGTTTTCCAGAAAGAATCTTAACCAATGTGTATAGGCTTGCTGACTTTTAGCATAAATAATTTTTTTTTATCAAATTTCCTCAGTTACTATCTTCAGAAGAATTGGAATTTTAAAGAGGAAAACCAATTCAGCTACAAGTATAGACTTGGTGTTCCTTTCTGTTTCAATATTATTTTTGAAATTCACTTGGGGGAAAAAAAAGATTACATTTTGTTCCTTTTCTTCACAGTGCTCTGACTAGACTTTGTTTCAGAGTGTTTTTAACAGATGTCCTTGAAGGCCTTCCGTAGTCATTGTTAACATTGAATGAAAACATTTGTTGTTTTCTTGCACCATGGCCTTGGTCATTTCTGGGCCAGTCTACTTAGTAGAGACTATGTGGTAAAGTCCAGACAGATACTACACTGTTTCAGTGCCTCAATTTAACAGGGTTATAGAGACCATCGGTTTGTTTTCATGGTTAATATAATTTGGGGCTGTAGTCATGCTTAATCCTGAATCATATGGGAACCAAATCATAAAAGTTAGGAATCATGGCATTTAAACGACTAGATGTGCTAGGCGCATTGTTTCAAAACTATGCAACATTATTAGAACATATTGGCATTATTATTATTATTATTGAACAGTAGAGTGGGTGTGAACAGGCCACAACATATAACCACTGTGGGATTCCAAAGACGAACAGGAATAAAAATATATCATCAGGGAAATATATGGGAGGAAAATAAGATTGGCTGGTCATGTGGTGAGTATAACTCATGACAATTGAACACTAGAGTGCCCATGGTGAACTTATTGGAAGACATGGACAAGAATTGTATAGAATGGGCAGGCATAGGTGGGTTGCTATCCACATCTTTGGGGGAAACATCCAAATTGATGAGATTGCAGAACACTGTCAGTATTGGTGAAGAGAAACACCAAAGAAACTACCTTGGTGCTCCCCATAATGAAAGGAAATGGTTGAGTGGCCCTCTGTTATGTATTGTTGTACTCTTCAGACTCAGCTCCAAACAGAGTTGATACTGAACTTTACATTTTAGTTTCATTTGTTCTTTTTATAACTAACTTATCATAGAAAAGCGTTAATAGAAAGCACCAGCTTTAAAGAGTAAGGCTTCTTCTAGTTCAAAGTTTAGGGTTAGGAATTGGGAGTCAGGGTGTGTATAAGCTTTGTAGCCCCAACCAGCCCTAACTGTGCTTCTCAGAACACAACCAGATTACAGCTAGGACTATCACATAATTCCATGAAAACCTAAGGTATCAAGGCCCTTGTTGCCTGAATGGGGTCAAAAGGATTAGCAAATATGGGGAAAGAAAAAGGTATTTGACTGTGAAGTGGCCAAATTGTCCTCCTTTTTAATAAACAAGCATTTTTTAAAGCACTTATTATGTTACAGGCCCTGTCTGAGGCCCTGGCAATATAGATGATAGGATATAGGATCTATTTGAGAAGACAACATGTACATGTGTAAATATGTACAAAATAAATACAAAATAATTTGGAATAGGGGAGGCAATAGGATCTAGGGAATCAGAATTTTTATTAGGTTAATAAGAATTTTTAAGTATTGTAAACAAAATAGCAAATTTTCAGGTGCAGAATAGTGAAAGCCCAAAATTCAAATCAAGTTTTAAAAATATAGAAAACATCAAGAACAGTAGAAACCCAAACACAGATACTAGGATTAAACCAGAAATTAAACAGGTCTTCCATATAGCTTTGGCTACAACAGCAAGGAAAGTCTCTTCCTTGGAAGACTAATTCAAGTGCTGAAGGGAGCCAGAAAAAGCAGCCCACTACTGCCCCTCTCCAGTCCTTTTTGATCTTCATATGATGCGAATATGAGTCCCTTCAACCATTTTGGTCCAATGCAGTCCAATAAGTATTTATTAAGTGCCTACAATGTGCAAAGCACTTTGTTAGGTGGCAGTGATATAATGACAACAATAAAATCCCTGCCCTCAGGAAGTTTACATTCTATTTACATACAACGTATAAACGTGTATGTGTGTATATAAATGTGCATGCAAATCATTTAAGGAGGGGGGAAAGAGTTAACAAGTAGGGGGATTCAAAAATTAGCCCACTTCACATTGGAGTTGGCATGTGAACTGATTCTTCAAAAAAGCTAGGAATTCTAAGAGGAGGAGGTGATGTTTCCTGGAAACATTCCAGTTTATCAATATCCTTCCTAAAATGTGACTCCCCAAATAGCACAGGGCTCTATACATGTGTTGTGACTATATCAGAATACAGCGGGACTGCCGCCTCTCTAGTTCTAGACATCATGGCTCCTAAGTGAAGCCTAAGATTACATCATTGCTGATGTTCAGTTATGTCTGACTCTTTGTGACCCCATTTGGGGCTTTCTTGGCTAAGATAATGGAGTGTTTTGCCATTTCCTTCTCTAGCTCTTTTTACAGATGAGAAAATTGAGGTAAATGGGGTGAAGTGACTTGCCCTCGCACAATTAGTAAGTGTCTGAGGCCAGATTTGAACATAGGAAGATGAGGCTATCCACTGCACCACCTGGCTGCCAAGATCACATTAGTTTTCACCATATTACATTGATTCGTATTGAACTGGCTTCAGAGAAAATCATTCTAGGATCTTGGGGATCCAGGCATTAAAGAGGGCTAACTTTGGATTGCTCCTTCCCTTCCAGTTTCGTGTTGTCCTGGAGCCCCTGGGTATCCTGGAATTTCTGTTAAAAGTTGCATCTACCCAAGCAATAATCCTGAAGTGCCACAATTTCAATTAACAGTTAGCATCTTGTGAATCAGTTCTGGAGCTATTTGATGCTAGGGAACTATGCTAGGGAAAGGTGCTAGGGAAGTGAAATTCTGAGTCTAAAATTTATGCATGCTTCTGTACTTCATGATGACAGCTAACTTTATTGTCTTGTTTTTTTCTATAAACATATACTAATGGGTCACAGCTACCTCCTGTGTTAGTTATTCTACATAATTACTTCTCCCAAAGACCTGCCGCTTTAATGGCAGCTAACTGAAAACTGTTTAGCAAAAGCACTGAAATAGGGGCAGCTAGGTGGTGCAGTAGATAGAGCACCGGCCCGGAAGTCAGGAGGACCTGAGTTCAAATGCGGCCTTAGCTGTGTGACCCTGGGCAAGTCACTTAACTCCAATTGCCTTAAGGAAAAAAAGAAGAAGAAGAAGCAGCACTGAAATTGAGAGGTAAAAGGGACTTCAGCGGCCTTCTAATCCAACCCAGGGATGATAGGAATCCCACTATAATATACTCAGCAAGTAGACATCCGCTTTAACAAGGCAATAATGTTTACGGTATTAAATTCCATTCATTTACCCAATATAAGATAGCAGTATGTGGTGTATACATAGGGCTTGCAGGTGTTTCAAGTTATTTTTTACGTATTATCCTATGTGAATCTCATCGTAACTCTGATATGGGCAGGTATTTTTGCTCACATTGTATAGAGGAGGCAAGTGTTTGAGTGAGGTAAATGACTTGGCCACTTGATCATACATACACCTGTAAGTGCCAGATGTGGGATCTTACTCCACATCTCAGCTGACTTCAGGTCTAGCACTCATTATTATAATCACTATATTCTATAAGATCAGCAGGATCAGGCCTGTTATGGATGAATCTCTTTGCATAGTTTGTCATCTCTGCCTCTTGGAATCTCCAGTTCCTTTAAAAGCCCAACTCAAATGGCATCTTCCTCAAGAGGTCTTTCCTGATTTCCCTAATTGTTAGTGTATCCTAGCTGAGATGAAATTATTTTATTTTGTGTTTACTTATACTGGTCAGTATATAACTTGTATGTCTCCTGCTTCCTCCATCACTAATCCTGAGCCTGACCTCCCTGAGGACAAAATCTGTGTTTAGTTTTGTCTTCGTATGCCCAATACTAAAGAGGGAGCATTAGTACAGGGCATAAGAGAATGATCTTTAAAGCCAAAAAAAAACAAAACAAACAAAACCTGAGTACAAGTTCTATCTCTCAAACTGAGTGGGAACAGTGGGGACTGAGCCAGTGAACCTCTCTCAAGGTGCTCCAGTCAACTCTCTTAGGACTTTAAGTTGCTAAAAATAAATGAATGAATGAAAAAAGAAAAAAAAAGGAAGAGTGTCAATTTGCATTGGTAGAGAGAGTTTCCTTACCCTGGACTTCCCTAGAAGATTAAAATTACAACTCCCTATTCCTAGGACTAGGGCAGATGGGAGGTGCTTAATAAATATTTATTGAATTGGATTGTTTTTGAATGATTACATTAGTAGAACTGTGAGAATGAATTTTGTTATTAATACATTGTCCAGGGTCCTATGTAAATTCGTAGGATTCAGAGCCATAAGGGGTCTTAGATATAATCTAGTCCAGCTCTCTTTTTTTACAGATGAGGAAATTGAGGCCCAGAGAGGCTAAATTGACTTACCCTCAACTCCCACAGATAGTAAGTAGGAAGAAGAGCTAACGTAACTGTATCTTGCAGATGAGGGAAGCACAGCCCAGGGGGGTGAAGATATTTGTGCAAGATTTCGTGACTATTCAGTGGCTGAGCTCGGCCCAGGATCCAGATGTGCTGGCTCTGAGCCAATACTACCCTCAGAGCCTCTTATCCTTAGGTAAAATATTCCTAAACGGTCTCTTCTGCCTGCATTATGAGGAACTGGCATCTCAATTGGGCTATATTGGGCTCTGATGTATGCAACATTTGGAGATTAGGTATTTGTTCGCAGAAACAATTTGAAATCAATTTAGCAGATTGAAGCAGAAATACACATTCATCTTTTGTGATATTGGAGGTCAGTGATATTTTTAAAAATTAAGTGATGTCAGCTGTTCTGTGGATTTCCTACCAGCTTATCCTTTTTTAAAAAAGTAAATAGGGAAAAGGACTGTTTATTGGGATTCCAAGATTGTTTTCTACAATCCTATTTCTCCATTTCTCACAGTACTTATATGCGT